GGAAAACTATAGGACATTGAAAAAAGAGATAGAGGAAGACATAAACAAATGGAAGAACATACCATGTTCATAGATTGGTAGAATCAACATCATTAAAATGTCCATACTTCCCAAAGCAATCTACAGATTCAATGCAATCCCCATTAAAATACCAACAGCATACTTCAAAGATCTAGAACAAACACTTCAAAAATGTATCTGGAATAAAAAAAGACGCTGAATAGCCACAGTAATCCTGCAAAAGAAGAACAAAATTGGAGGGATCACAATACCAGATATTAAGCTATCTTACCAAGCCATAGTTCTCAAAACTGCCTGGTACTGCCACAAGAACGGACATATATATCAATGGAACAGAACAGAGAACCCAGAAATCGACCCAAGCCATTATGCTCAATTAATATTTGACAAAGGAAGCAAGAGCATACAATGAAGTCAAGACAGTCTCTTCAATAAACGGTGCTGGGAAATTTGGTTAGATACATGTACAGAAATGAAACTAGATCAACAACTTACACCATACACAAAACCAAACTCAAAATGGCTAAAGGACTTTAATGAAGATGGGAAATCATAAAAATACTACAAGACTCTATAGCCATCAAAATAGCAGACATATGTCATAGCAATATCTTTACAGACACAGCTCTTAGGGAAATGGAGACTAAGGAGAAAATAAACAAGTGGGACTACATCAAAATAAAAAGCTTCTGCACAGCAAAAGAAACCATCAACAAAACAATAAGAAAGCCCACTGCATGGGAGAACATATTTGCCAATGCTATTTCAGATAAGGGTTTAATCTTCAAAATTTACAGAGAACTCATACAACTTAACAAAAGGAAGATAAATAATCCAATCAAAAAATGGGCAAAGGACCTAAATAGACACTTTTCAAAAGAGGACATACAGAAGACCAAGAGACATATGAAAACATGCTCAAAGTCACTAATCATCTGAGAAATACAAATCAAAACAACAATGAGATAACATGTCACACCTGTCAGAATGGCTATCATCAACAAATCAACATAAGACAAGTGCTGGTGAGGATGCGGAGAAAAAGAACAAGGAACCCTTGTGCACTACTGGTGGGAATGCAGACTGGTGCAGCCACTGTGACAGACAGTATGGAGTTTCCTCAAAATTTAAAAATGGAACTCCCATTTGACCCAGTAATCCCACTTCTAGGACTATATCCCAAGAAACCAGAAACACCAATCAGAAAAGATATATGCACCCTTATGTTCATAGCAGCACAATTTATAATAGGTAAGATTGGAAACAGCCTAAGTGTCCATCATCGGATGAGTTGATTAAAAAACAGTGATACATCTACACAATGGAATACTACGCCACTATAAAAAAGAAGGAATTCTTACCATTTGAACAGCATGGATGGAACTGGAGAGCATTATGCTAAGCAAAATAAGCCAGTTGGAGAAAGATAAATATCACATGATCTCACTCATATGTGGGATATAATGATCAACATAATTTCATGAACAAGAATAGATCCAGAGACAAATGGCAGGGGAGTTGAGGGGGGCAGGGATAGAGAGCAACCAAAGGACTTGTATGCATGCATATTAGCATAACCAGTGGAAACAAGCACAGGGGCAGTGGTGGCTTGCTAGGGGTGGGAATGGCTGGGAGGTGGGGGTCAACTGAGGAAAAAGGAGACATGTGTAAAACTTTAGACAATAAATAAATAAAATTAAATTTAAAAAAGAAAGAATAAAACCCGGCTCGTGGGGCTCAATGTTTGAGCATTGACTTATGAATCAGGAGGTCAGGGTTCGATTCCCAGTTAGGGCATATGCTTGGCTGGGATGTGCAACAGGCGGACGATCAGTGATTCTCTCTCATCATTGATGTTTCTCTCCCTCTCCCTCTCCCTCTCCCTCTCCCTCTCCCTCTCCCTCTCCCTCTCCCTCTCCCTCTCCCTCTCCCTCTCCCTCTCCCTCTCCCTTTCCCTCTCCCTCTTCCTTCCTATCTGAAATCAATAATAGTTTTTAAGAGAAAGTATACAAGCAGTAGAATCCTATAAATTGAATCTTATCCTGATGGCCTAAAGACATCAGGCTATTATTTCAGTGGTTCAGTTTGTCATTCTGTTTAGGAATCACCTTAGGACAATGAGAAGCTTCTGGTGCCTCCACCAGGCAAGTATAATTTTAGATTTTTCTTTAGAGACATAGAAAATAGACATGCAAACTGAAGAGACAATCTGAAAATGAATACATAACATTAAAGGTATACTTAGGCCTTAACTGCCATGTATCTCTGCTCCTATAATGTCAGAGAAGGCTAGAAAAGTTTGGGGAAGAGCTCTAGCCCATGGTCGGCAAACTGCGGCTTGTGAGCCACATGCGGCTCTTTGGCCCCTTGAATGTGGATCTTTCTAAGCCTTAGGAGTACCCTAATTAAGTTAATAACAATGTAACTACCTATATAGTTTAAGTTTAAAAAATTTGGCTCTCAAAAGAAATTTCAATCGTTGTACTGTTGATTTTTGGCTCTGTTGACTAATGAGTTTGCCGACCACTGCTCTACACCATTAGAAGGTTGATTAGGAAAAGGAAATAGATTCTGAAGCACTAGAATGTATTGTATAGTAGAAACCAAGGTCACTCAGAAAGTGATTGATGATCCCTTCCCAGGTAATTGCTAATGTCCATGTGGGAATATTAATGATTAACAATTGTCAAAAATGGAAAGGAGCTCAAAGAGCATTTAGGCTGACTTTCTTATGCAAATATCAGACATGTATTGACTTGGTTATGGTCACCAGCTAAGTAGTGGCAGAGCTGGGATGGTAATCTAGGTTTCTGTCTTCTCATCCAGTACTCTTTCCACTAATAACTTTTCTAACCTTTCCTACAAAGTACTAGGATATAATGTACGCTTGACTATTTGAGACTCCTTGAAGCCCATGCACCAGTTTAGAGTCCACTCCAATAAAATTAAACAGTCATGTGAAAGCCTCAGAAAGGCCTTCAGCGTTTCTAGGGACTCCCAAGGCCCCAGTGATCAAAATGTGTTTCTGTGATAGAAATTAGGTCCTTCTTCACTTAATCATTACACGGTTTTAATTTGTCTAACACAGTCCTAGTTCTCTATCAGAGAACAGTTAACACCTCTGAGTGACAGGGGCATCAGAAGAAGGTCTGGGGTTACCTATTGTTATGTTATTCTAAATTGTTCCATTGTTATAGGCCCTGAATAGTGTCCTCCCAAAATTCATATGAGGAAGACCTAACTCCCAGTACCTCATAATATGACTGTATTTGGAGATAACTTTTGAAAAGGATAATTAAGGTCAAATGAGGTCATATAGGTAGACCCTAATCCAATATGACTAATGTTTTAGAAGAGATTAGGACACAGAAGACACGGGGGGTGGGGGAATGGGGGGGGTAGGCAGAGGGGACCATATGAAGACATGGAGAGAATACAGTCATCTACAAATCAAGAAGAGATGAATGAAACCAACCCTGTCAACATCTTGATCTTGGAATTCTAGCCTCCAGAACTGTGAGAAAACAAAATTTTTATTGTTTAAACCACTCAGTCCATGGTATTTTGTTATGGCAGCCCTAGAAAACCAATGCACTTATTAAATAGTAGGAAACAATGTAAAAAAGTAATTCCATAACACAGTTAGGAGTTTAAAAGACAAAGTAAAGCCTGGAAGCCAAAAGGAACTTTGGGGAAAAAAGTAGCCAAAGAACTAAGCTTTAAAATGATTATTCTTTAGAAAGGCTTTAGTTTAATTTTTCCTCCTCAGAGCAAAAACATTAATTGGCAGTAAAAGAAATATAGCCGAAACCGGTTTGGCTCAGTGGATAGAGCGTCGGCCTGTGGACTGAAAGGTCCCAGGTTCGATACCGGTCAAGGGCATGTACCTGGGTTGCGGGCATATCCCCAGTTGGAGATGTGCAGGAGGCAGCTGATCGATGTTTCTCTCTCATCGATGTTTCTAACTTTCTATCTCTCTCCCTTCCTCTCTGTAAAAAATCAATAAAATATATTAAAAAAAAAAAGAAATATAGGTATATTGTGGAGTAACATGCAAAATTTACATGAACTTCCAAGAATAAAGTGAATCTGAAAGAAATTTTGCATACTGATAGAGTGCTTTGCATTATATTCTTAGATCCCCAGGGATATGGTGCCCATTTGCTTCTCAGGGGAATTTTGGTAGAAAAATTGAAAAGCACTGTTCTAAATATATCTGATGCCTCCCAGATAGTCTTCCTTCTATAAAAGGCATCTCCATGTTTTATTCCATGCCAAGCACTTTGAAAGATGACAATAGCAGATACAAATGGGTTCTACTCCCTGCCCTCCCTGCTTATTGTCTAGAGCAGTGGTTCTCAACCTTCCTAACGCCACAGCCCTTTAATGCAGTTCCTCATGTTGTGGTGACCCCCAACCATAAAATTATTATCATTGCTACTTCATAACTGTAATTTTGCTACTGTTATGAATCGTAATATAAATATCTGATATGCAGGATGTATTGTCATTGTTACAAATTGAACATAATGAAAGCATAGTGATTTATCACAAAAACAATATGTAATTACAAATGTGTTTTCCGATGGTCTTAGGCGAACCCAGTGAAAGGGTCATTGGACCCCCAAAGGGGTCGCGACCCACAGTTGAGAACCGCTGGTCTAGAGGAATTGATGCTTCCATGTGGGACAGAAGTGTAGGCAGCTTCCAATGTCAGGGAAAGGGGACAAATAAACAAGGCTCTCCCTTTAGACAACCTTGCTATATGTCAGGATTTGAAAAGGAACCACCTACGAAGAATGTTCTCAGAAGCACAACCATTTTCTCCTCACACATCTTTTAGCCAAACTTAGCTGAGCCGCTGAGGTGAAGTGTTAGATGCTTCCTCCCCCTCTCCAGATTCATGGCACATACATCATCTGGATAAAGGCCTGGGGACTAAATGCAAAAGACCATGTCACCATCAAAAGTCAGACTACCTTAGCATGCAGGTATAGTTGCCCGTGTCATTGAGGAGGGTGGGCCGGAACCAGAGCACATCTTTCTCCTTACTAATGCGGTTCTCTGGGAGACGGAAGTTAATTGGTTCCTCAAGGTCCCGGTCCTGCCTAGTCCAATACCAGATCAGAGTAAGGCCAGCTGAATGGGCTGTGCTGTAGTTATATTTCAAGAAGTGTTCAAAGAGTGGGCACTTGATGCGAGCTGGCTCATCTTCAAACACTTGGATCTGCCTCATGGTATCTAGTCCCCAGTCATCGCAGCGTTCTGGAACAATCAAAAAGAAAAGGCAGATGAGTCACCTCACACTTTCTCTCCAGATACCCAATCTTTCCCAGGAACTTCCTTCTCTAGTCATCTTCAATCACCTCTCTTTAATAACTGCATATAACAGGCACCTGTGAAGTGAAGAAATGACTTTCCCCTTATTCCTTTACCATTTTATGACTATCTCTTGGCTAATAATTGGATTTAATAGTTTGATCCCACTGAACTCTGAAAGATATGGGGGAGAATCTCACCTGAAAAATAAGTCATGTAGGGATCTCATGGGGCAGGGATCTCAGCTGTTACATCACACTCCCTTCTCTTTTGGAAATTGAGACATGCCATTGTATACAAGAAGGATCATTTATTCTTTAATTGAGGGTTTAATAAATGCCTGCCATGTTCCCCCTTAGCTTAGTTAAGCCTGTAAGTACAATAGTGAGCAAGAGCAGACATGGTTCCTGACCTTGTTGAACTTACAGTCTAGTGAGGAAGTACTTAGGTAAGTACTACTTTACAACTGTGATAAGTGCTAAGAAGTGCATGGTGTTATGAGAGCATATATATTTGTAATAATTGGAAATTTGTGCTAGTGTTGCTCAGCCATGAAATAAATAAAATGTTACACAAATGGTAAAAAGGGCTCCTGACTCAGGGCTAGATCTGAGCTCTCCATTAGCAATAATACCTGAGCCACATTTGTAATTTCAGATATCCTAGTTGCCACAGTAAAACATTTTAAAAAGCAGGTAAAATTATTTTTGCATATTTTGTTAAACTTGATATATCCCAAGCACTCTTAATACACTAATGAGCTGTTTTATATTTGCATTCTTTTTTTGGTACAAGTCTTCAGAATATGATGTGCTTAACACCTACAGCGCATCTCATTTTTAGCTAGTCGTGTGTGTCTACTGGACACCAGGTTAGAGAGCAGGCCTTAAGAAGTCAAGAGGTTTCAGTGACACTCATATGGGAACAAAGGCACTACAATTTCAACGACTCAGAGTCAAATACATTGATAATGACTTTTATAATTTATTTTTATAATGAAAAGTAATCACTTGTACATACTAGAAAATGATAATAAATTACCTTTTATGATATATGGATGGAGAGTTCTAGATCTCATCATATGGAGACAAGAACAGAGAAACCAGAGGTGATAGAGTATTAAAAGGCCCAAAGTAACCACCTTAAAAGAGTTTTCTTTTTTTCTCACAACCCTTACATACTTACATATATTCACATGCATATGCATATGTGTGTATGCATTTTTAACTATGTAATATTCCCAACATTTCAGCTGACATTAAAACTTTTCATCCTAAGTATAAACATTAAAAATATACCCTAATGTTATATTTGAAGTAATGATCTTTTAAAATAGTTATACCACTTTTTAAATTACAGTCAATTAAATAGTAATTTGTCATACACCAATATCCACCTAAAATATGTAAACAAGCTTTATTTTAACCATTGGTAATTCTATTCTGTTCCTTTTTCTCCTTGACCTTGTATTAATTCCACTATCTTCATATATAATCTTATTTTAATAAAATAGATTTCTGGTATTTTTTTACTTTTTATTACTTTACTTTTCTGTGCAATATACAATGCTCTTTGTTGAAAAGTTGAATTTTATTATGATTATAATATATACAACTTAAATAATACATAGTATTTTCAACTTTATAAGTATTTAGTAAATATAAAATTATATTGGAAATCATCTCTTGATAATAATCAGGATGGGCTACTTTTGAATGAAAGGGGTTAGGCATTACTTGAAAATGTTTTATGTATATGTAAGCATTGAGAAAATCTGTCCATAGCCAAGAACAAAAGAAGTTTACTTCTAGCAAGGTTATTCAGTCTTTAAACTTCTTTAGAGTTTTATGCCCCGTTTATACTTTTATCATAACAAATTATTTTTAATGACCTATCACTTAACATCTCTGGAAGATAAAGTTTGAATAAACAGACCTAATTCACATTCCTTCCTATATCCACATCCTCCGCTCTCCTTTCTCTTTCTCTCTCTCTCTCTCTCTCTCTCTCTCTCTCTCTCTCTCTCTCTCTCTCTCTCTCTCTGCCATGTGAGGACAAAGTGAGAAAGAAGCCCTTTGCAAACTGGGGGGAAAGTTCTCACCAGACACCTAATCTGTCAGTGTTTTGATCTTGGAATTCTCAGCCTCCTGAACTGTAATACATGTGTGTTGTTTAAACCACCAATCTGTGGTATTCTTTTACAGCAACCAGAGCTGACTAAGATACCCAGGAAAACCTGAATGAGAGACCACCAGCAATAGGAGACCACCAGCACCTTCACCAGCACGCTGTCTGGCCTTTCACAGCTGACCAGTGATGCAAGAGCAAGCCATGCTTCTGTTAGCAGAACTGCCCAGCAGCCTACAGATCCTGAGAAAAATACATGTGTAACAAACAAAATGAAGTTTGTCACTAAAGTTTATGGTTGTTAGGCAATATTTTGGGGAGGGCAGATAATGGATAGAACAACTAAATTAGTGGCTACTTTAAGTTTGATAAAAGCAAAGGATTTGAAGCTTTATGACTTGCAAAGGGATTTGTGAGTATGTAATAAATCTCTAAGTAAATATTATATCTGGAAAGTTTAACAAACTGACTTTTCTAAGACTCAACAAATTGCTTCTACTTATAATTGCTTTCATTTAGAAACACCTTTTGAAATCCAATATACAGAGAAAGAAATGTGAGATCAAAATGTTGTTCACATTAACACAAACTTGATTCTAAAATATTTTATAAAACATCTACCTTATCGCATTCTTTAAATTATTTTCAGTAAAACTGCAAAATTGCAGAATTAGCTCATTCAATTTATAGAAAAATATAACCATAGTTTTTTTTTTAGATAACTATGTCAGACTATATACATGCATCCAATTTCATTCCCTTCTGAAACTCCACAAAAACTAAAAATTACTTTTCAAGACATAACCCCAAGTGACAGCAAGGATGGGAGAAAAGGTAACAGCAACATCAAAATGAACAAGTGGTAACAAGCTTAGCCTATTTAGAATGAAAAACCCTGCCAGCAGGGAAAAACTGGAGAACAAGCCAATCAGCAATGCAGAATACAGAAAAGACCCAGGAGGAGCTATCAGTAGCAACATAAAAAACCATCAGTGCTGTTCACCAGTATTCCTGGGTTCGCTTCTAGACATAGTGTAAGATTACTAGTATACTTGCATTCCCTCTAAAGTAAGGATCAGCCACTTGAAGGGCCATGCTTCCTTTCCAGCTGGGTTGGCAAATATGAAAGTATGAAGAATGAGACTCTCTTAGCTTAGATCCCTTGATATGGATTATATATAGCAGAGCTTTGTTATGCTAAGTCATAGAAAATAGAGATTTGCTTTTTACCAATATGAATAATCTATTCTATCCTGGCAAATGCAATCGGTTACCTCAAAACTGAGGACACAGCAGAGGGTGGTGAAATAAGGACAAGCAGATAAAAGCTATGCCAAACATGACAGCCTTTGTTCTAACCCCACTCTCCGAGCACTCAGTAACCTTTCCCACCCAGCTCCAAGGATGAAGTGGGGATACCTTTACCCACCAGGCAAAAGAATGAATGAATCTTCTACGGAAAATGTGGCTAGCTTCAGAAAAAAATGTAGCACTCTTAATATCAGTGGTTCATTAACAAATTGCACCGCCACACCATCCAACAGAAAAGCCAAGGTTAACAAGCCTCACATTCATATTTAAATTTTTTTTAATTTAATTTTTCAATTACATTTATATTCAATATTATTTGTATTAGTTTTGTGTACGGCACACAGTTGTTAGATGATTGTGTAATTTACAGAATGGTCCCCTAGCTATTTCAAATGCCCACCTGGCACCATACATAGTTATGACAATATTAATGTCTATATTCCCTAGGCTGTACTTTACATCCCCATGAATATTTTGTAACTATCAATGTGTAGTTCTTAATTCCTTAGCCTTTTTCAGCCACCTCTCCAATCCCTTCACATCTGGCAACCATCATTTTGTTCTCTTTATCTACGAGTGTGTTTCTATTTTTTGTTCATTTATTTTGTTCTTTAGATTCCATATATAAGTGAAATTATATGGCATTTGTCTTTTTTGGGGGGGTTTGGCTTATTCACTTAGCTTAATACTCTCTAGGTTCTCCATGCTGTTACAAATGGTAAGATTTCATACTTTATTAGTAATATTCCATTGTATAAATCACTACTTATTTTTTTAATCTATTTGTCTTGGGTTGCTTCCATATCTTGAATATCATAAATAAAGTTGCAGTGAACAAAGGGATGCATATAATCTTTTGAATTAGTGTTTTGGGTTTCTTCAGATATATTCCCAAAAGCAAATCCCTATTTTCTGTGACTTAGTATAACAAAGCTCTGCTGTATATCATGCATATCAAAGGATCTAAGCTAAGGGAAACTCATTCTCCGTACTTTCATATTTGCCAACACAGAACAAAAGGGAACATGGTGAAATTGCTGGGCCATATGGCAGTTCCATTATTAATTCTTTTAGGAAACTCCATACTATTTTTCATAGTGGCTGTAATAATTGATAATCCCACCAACACTACATGAGGGTTCCCTTTTCTCCATATCCTCACCAACACTTGTTTGATTTATTATGACAGCCATTCTGACAGGTATGAGGTGTTAGCTTGTGGTTTTAATTTGCATTTCTCTGATGGTTAGTGACTTTGAGCATCCTTTCATATGTCCACTGGCCATCTGTATGTCTTCCTTGGAGAAGTGTCTCTTCAGGTCTTCCACCACTTTTTATTGGATTGTTTGTTTGTTTGTTTGTTTGTTTTTTGGCATTGCGTTGTATGAGTTGTTTATAAATTTTGGATATTAATCCCTTATCAGATGTATCATTGGTGAACAGCTTCCACCATTCAGTAGGATGTCTTTTTGTTTTGTTGATGGTTTTCTTTGCTGGGCAAACAGTAT